TGCCGCTGAGGAGCCTGCACATGCAGGAACTGGAGCAGGGCAGCTGTGTTATTTTGGGGGCTCAGCAGTCACACCCCCCATGGCTGCCAGCCCCAGGGCTGGGAGGGGGCTGTGTCTGCCCCAGCCAGCTCCCTCCAGCCAGACCCATCGCAGGACCATGGTCCTGTGCTGCAGAAGGGGTGGTACGGGGGGGAAGAGGCAGGAGAGAGGAGGATGGGTGAGTAGCTGATGGGCTCCCTTGGCCCTTCTTGGTTTGGGGATGGGGCGCATGAGGGTAGCGGGGAGGCTGCCCTGAGCTGTGCTGGGGAGGCAGCAAGGGCCCGGGGGTGGGAGGTGGGAGCTGAGGACAGGGCAGGCTCCTAGGAGGTGCCTGAGATTCTGTCTCACAGCCCCGAGCTCCCAGAGGGTGAAGAGGAGGGCTGCTGTTGAAGGTTATGGTTTCCTCAGCTTCTGTTATACAAAATGGATAGCCTGTTTTTACTTGCGAAAGACCAAACAAATTATGGGAATTTTGCTTAGAAAAATGCATAATTATGGACCAAGCTAGAGCCTTAATTAGGCTTGGGAAGCCCTAGATTTGCATCTAATCTGCGGTGGCCAGCCCTTTGCCTGCATGACCACAGTGTTATATGCTCTCCTGAGACACAGGGTACCCCAGGCTGGTTGTCTGGAGCAAACTTTGATCCCCATCTGGCTTTCTACACAGATGGAGATATGATCCCCATATCACTTTCTGCAGTTGCGGAGATACCTGCTTCTGGGGAGGAGGGAGGAAACTTTTTTTTGTGGCTAAACCCCTTTGATTGCATCAAGCTGTAGTGTGAAAGGCTGTAAATAAGAGCAGGGTTTCAGTGCCCTTCACTTCTGGGTGTGGGTTCCAGTTAATCTCTGTCTTTGCCCTGCCTGGTGGGCATGACCAGGATGTGAACTTGACTTTTGCAAGATGTTGTTTTGCAATACTGAATCTCACAAGACTCTTCAGACCATCTCTGGCTCAGAGGAGCAGCTCAGGATCCAAATGCTTCTTGGGGTGAGGGCATGCCCGTGGCTCTGCCTTGCCCTGGGCTGACTCTCCTGCAGAAGTGTAAAGCAAGAAAACCGAAGTGGCACACTTCTGTGCTCGAGGAAGGAACCGTGCTTAAGGAACAATCTTCTGTGATTCTATGATCTTGATGTTGGGTTTTCCCCTTTGGGAAGCCTTTGTGGGCAGGGGAGGGGGGTTGCAGGCTGGGCTGTCACCCCCTGTGGCATCACCGCCTGG